CCCTTCCCTGGGGGGATGCTGATCCGTTTACGGTGGCCCCGTGGGCCCCACCGCGGGCGAGATCACGCCGTCGGGGACATGGGCTCTGGGCCTCCCAGGCGGGGTCAGTCGGGTCCGAGCAGATGTGGTCGAAGGATCGCGCGGCATCGCCGATGCATCGGCGATGCGGCTCGATGAGGAGCTCGATGTTCTTTGCGCCGAAGGCGCCTCTGCATTGCCGACATCGCCGGTGCATCGCCAATGCATCGACGATGCGGCACGATCCTCAGACCCCGTGCACTCAACGCAGCAAAGACAGCGAATGATTGTCAAGGCACACATGTGAGTATGCTCTGTCCTTCTGCTCGCCCCACCGGTTGCGCATTCGGGCTCTGTCCTAGGGTCTGCTCAGCTACACGAGCAAACTGGAGCAAACATGCCACGAACCACGGTGACGATGATGACAAGCCGTCCGGGAGGCCTCTCAACGATGGACCCCATCCAGGAGGCCTCTGTGGGACCCCTGCGCCAGCGAACCTCCTTGAGACTACCGCGCGGCGCGTCGGCGCCCGCTCGCCGGCGAGGTCCACCCCGATGTCCCCAGCGGCCCGAGGCGCCGCCTTCCCGCGCTCGGGGGGGGGGCGCGCGCAGGGTGCGCACTCGCGGCCAGCTCGGACGCCGCCGCCGAGGACTGGACGACGCCGACCGCTCGGGCGTGGCGTAAGGGTGCCCCTGGCCAAAGGTCCGAGGAACAATCCATGAACAAGTACGTGCACTGATGGAGGTCCGCGCGGATTTCTCGGATCGGCGCTGGAGCCCCCTGGGAGCGCCTCTGGCGCCGCCCCTGCCACGCTCCACACGCCAGAGAGGGGGGTCAGCGCCGACCGCAGAAATCCGCGCCGATCTCCAACAGTTCATGTTCATGTCATGTTTTTGCTCCGCGAAAATTGTCCACAGGATGTCAGAGGGAGGCCCATGCGCGAGAAGCTGGGGACTTTCGGACGGGGCTACGGCGAGGGTAAATCCGTTCCAGAGCGTTCCGGAACGTTCTCAGAGCGTTCCAGAACGCTCTGACCGCGCCGCCCGAGGCATCCTCCAGAGATTCTCGATTTATCCTCACCCAATGTTATCCTCGCCCTGGCTTCGTCTCAGACATTTTGAGCCAGGACCACCTGCAACACCCGAGCCATGTGCCAGACCAGCTCGATGCACGCTTCCGCGCGTGCTGGCGCGCGGGGGCTTGCATCGAGCTGGTGTGGTATACGGCTGGCGTCGTCCAAGATACCGGAGAGGGTGCGATCGGGGAGAGGAGGAGGGGAGGGGCGAGGAGCAGAAATGATTGGAGAGGAGAGAAGGTGAGGGAATATTAAGAGGCGAGGGAAGGAGAGGGGGAGAGGAGACGAGAAGGGGAGAGGAGAGAAGGGAGGGATGGAAGGGCAGCGCTCGGGTGCGAGTAAGGAACGTGCTCCGCAGCTTCCTCGGAGCACCCCAGAGCGCTCCAGAACGTCCGCGGAGCCCGATGCGTCCTCCGGACCTGCTGGCTCTCCGAGATCCTGAAGAATTGCTCGTGCGTGCCCGGGCTTCTCTTGAGGATGCCGCCGCCCCCTCTTTGACGACAAGCCCTCGAGGTCAGCAGGGCCGCGCGAGCCAAACGCACAGGGTGGAACAACTTGCGGAGTTCCGCGCGGCTTTCTTTGATCCGCGCTGGGGCCCTCCCCTTGCGGTGCCTCTGGCTCTGCCCCATTGCGCGCTCCGCGCGCCGCGGAGGGAGGTCCGGCGCCGTTCGAAGAAGTCCGCGCGGAGTTCCGAAAGTTCATTGTTGTGCAGTTGTATGTTCGAGCAGGAGAAAGTGCAGTTGTATGCTCGAGCAGTGCATCTGTGTGTATGTTGTGCAGTTGTATGTTCGAGCAGAAGAAATCCGCGCGGAGTTTCGAAAGTGCACCGAGAGTCAGCAGGGCCGCGTGAGCCAATCGCAGGGTGTGGGCGACCCCTTCCTCTGGCTGTTCCCTTCTCGCCCCCTCCATGGACAAAGGCCCGATCCGGCTTTGGGCTCCAGGCCCGTTTTGGCTTTCAGCCCGTTGCGGCTTCGGCCCGTTGCGGCTTCGGTCCGTTTCGGCTTCGGCGCGTTTCGGCTCGGCCCCTTGCGGTTCGGGCCCGAGCCGAAACGGGCCAGGACGGAACGGGCCGATGCCGATTGCGGCTTTTTCCCATGGCCCTTAGTGCCTGAACCCTCAGAGGGCCACGTGGAGAGCTACCCTCTCCTCCTCCTCCTTCCCCCCCGCCCGTCGCCCCCCCAATTCCCAGGTGCCACGAGCGGTTCCCCTGCACTGGCCAAAACCGCACAGCTCCGAAGCAACTTCCATGAGTCTCATACGCTGAACGCGTTGCGTGCGCTTACACATATGGCAACTTAGTGCGTTGCTGTGCCTATAAGCTCATATGTGTGTCCAGACGGCATCGCCTGTCCCTGGAGAGTGACAGCCCGTCGCGGCCGAGTGGTCCGAGACCACCGCAGAACAGACCAAGCGACTTTGGAATCGAATTGCAGTCAGCGTGCTTCGGATGGGCTCGATGTATGTACCACGTCGTTTGGTTGGCCAAGGAGCCAGGGAGCTCGGCGAATGATTTCGGTGTATAGACGCAACAGTGTTCCACAAGTTGGGAAGCTGGGGCGTCTATACATCGAGCGCCTTGGCCGACCAGACGGCTTGGTGAGTATTCCGAGCCCCTCCCAGCGCCGCTATCGCGAGGATCATTGCAGCCAAGACGCCGAAGTATTTGATATATTGGGTTCAAGAGGGGTTATGTGCTTTTGGGCCGTTCCTTGCATCTAGGTCGGTGCACCCATTCGCGGCCGAGGCTCCTCTTCACTCCTTGTTCTGCATTATTCATGGTATCGCGATGGCTGGATCCTCCCAGAGCTCCTGATGAACCTTCCAAGAGCCATCCTAACCAGTTTTTGTTCGAGCGATCCTCAGTGAGAACCTGCCACGCGTGCCCTCAATGGTGCACGCTTGCCGAGGTGATACCGACAGAACGGGGCATGACAAGCGGAGGCAGAGGCGAAAGAAGGGAGGAATTGGTCAGATGAAGAGCCTGTGTTGGGCTGCCCCCCCTCCTCCACGCCATATTTCCTGCCCCTGCGGCAGGCTCGGCACGGGCCCCCATCGAACTGTTTCGAGGCCTGCCTCGTCCGCGGGCACATCCCACTAAGCGCACAGCGTCGTTGCCGTCGTTGATCGAGGATCGAGGATGGACGATTTTAACGCGTTCGGCCCTCTTGGGCCTCTGGAGGATTTCGGGAGCAAGGACCTCAAGAGGCCTCCCAGGGACCTCCAGAGACTCTTAGCGAGGACGGCAGTCGTCGTCTGGGGTCGGCGGAGTTGGTAAGGTCCTTCCCACAAGGGCGCCCGATAGCGTCGAATCGATCTGCAGACTGCATCTATACACCGCCACGCCTGACCATAGCCATCCTGGGCCCTAGGATGGTGCGTAGGCCCTCCTGACCTCGGCCCAGAGGGTGTATACACGATGCAAGGGCCCAGCACGGCCCTGACCAGGTGTGGTGGTGTTGCATAGTACCTTCTGCCCAGAAATCAGTGTTTTTTAGATGCGGAGCCCCTGGAGGTTCCAACCCTTTGCCCAGGGCAGGCTTTTCATCCCGAGTCGTTTTCTGGCGGTCCTGGAGCCTGGCGAGGGACTAGGGCCCCCATCAGGCCAGAAGCGACAATCACATTTGCACCTTGGTTTCCCATTGCGTCGGACCGTTTGCTTAGCGTGTCGCGCCGCCAGTTCTGGCCCGCCACGCTTCGGCCTCAAACTATCAACGGTCCGAGTTTACGGATTCCCGTCACACACAGCAGAGCGACACGCTAACAGTTTGCAAGGCATAGCGTGTCGCAGGGGCCTGACCGTCGGCCCCATCTGCACCGCCTCGCTCTTGGACGGCCCCGAGCCCTGGAGAGGGGCGAGGGCCCCGCCCAGAGGCCCGAAACGTCGAAGAAGCAGCTCCGCACCTCTCGTTCCAGTGCGTTGGAGGTTTGGGCATTCCAACGCCTTCCAGGTGTGGTCCGAGCAGACAGGACCAGAGGACGGGCTCGATGCGGAGCCCGATTTTCTCCACGCCGACGCCGCCGATGCGTCGCTGATGCATCGGTGATGCGTAGACGATGCGGCGCGATCCTCCGACCCCATCCACTCGGATCAGATATCTGGGAGGCCTCTAGCATTGTAGCGAGTCCCCGTGCGCAGCCGAGAAGGGTGATCTCGTCGCAGCAGCCTCCTGCAGAGGAGCGTGTGCTGCTGCATAGCTTGCCTCGAAGAAGAGAGCACGTCATACCTAGTTTCTCGAAGCTCCGCGCGGATTTCTTGTATCGGCGTTGACCCCCCGGGCGGCGCCTCTGGCGCCGCCCCTGGCGCGCTCCGCGCGCCAGGGAGGGAAGCCCAGCGCCGACCCCAGAAATCCGCACAGACATGTGGGGAACATGCACATGCCGTTTCTTGTTTGTCGCAACGCCGCCTCCACTTGTGGGGAGCGGCGGCCTCCGCGCGCGATCGGACCCTGGGCTTGTCCCCCCCCCCCCCGCCGTAATCCTCGTCCGCGTCCCCGGCACGCGCTCGGCAAGGCGCAGCTGCGGGAGACCATCCCGAGGCTGGAAAATGACCGAGATCCGACAGAAACGCCCGAGCACCTCGAGCCTCGATCGAACTGTCTGACAGTGCGCGGCGCGGCGTTCGCTCCCAGGCGCGGCCGTGGCCTCGCGGCCAGGTCCCCGTGGCTGGTGGGCGTTTTCGCGCGGATGCTCCGCGCGGAACGTATCCATGCCCCCGCGCATCCGCGGGACCGCCCCCTGGAGTCCAGACCGCGAGTGCGTGGATGGACATGGATCTGCTCGCCGCCCGCGCGGAACGTATCCGTGCGACCGCGCATCCACCGGATCTCGCCCTGGAGTCCAGACCGTGAGGGCGTGGATTTGAATGCGCTCGCCGCCCGCCGCCTCTGCGCAGCCCCGGGCCTTCCCGCGGCGCGGCGCTCGCCCCCAGGCTCCGCCGTGGCCCCCGCCTACGGGCTGGGCCCGCGGCTGCTGCCGCGGCGGCCCGCCGGCCCGCGTGCCCGCCCCGACCTTCCCCGCCGCCGCCGTGCACGCGCGCCGAGGGTTCGGGGGGCTCCCAGCCGGCGCGGTAACCACACAACGGTGCCACTACCGCCGCGCACGCGGCGCCGACGGGTCGTGGGCCCCACGGCGGTGCGGTGACCACACCGCGTGGGGCGCCCAAGCGGTGCCGCTCCCAAGCGGCGCCGCAAGACGGCACTGTCGGGGGCCCTCTAGTGGCCAGCCTGGGCTCCTGTTGGGCGTCTCCTGGGCTCCCGTTCGGCTGCCCTGGGGCCTTCCGCCTCCCGCGCGACCCGCTCGGCGGACAGCTCCGCGGAGGTCCTCGTGTCACCTCGGCAAGAGCCCCCCCCCCCCCCGCCCCCCCGCTTGCGCCTGGAAAGAGAGAAAGCCGTGGGCCTCCATCCGTCGCGGGGGCCACACCGTGTTGTGAGTCAGAGGGGATGTGGGGGGACCGCACGGTTTTGGGGGCTGGGGTCTTCATTTTCCGAGTGCAAGCTGGTCGTTGAAAATAGGTATTTTTGGATGCCCAAATCCTGATCTACTTTAGTCGCCTTCCTAGTTCAAGAGTCGAGCGGTTTTCCTTCTTTCCTCCTCTTCAGGGGGCGGGTGGAAGCCCAATCTACTTCCAACGCCTTCCTACTTCATGTTTCAACCCACTTCTTCCGACCAGCGTGTATGTGGATGTCTCGGGCAACCTGGGCTTCCAACAGGTCCCAAAGCCGTGCGTTGGCGGACCGTGCGGTGAGGTTGCTTGGCATGTCGTGGTCACCGCACGGTGTGCCACTGCGTCACCGCATCGTGTCGGGATCCCCGAGAGGGTGGGTGGGTGGGTGGGTTGTCAGAAGCCGACCAGCGGCAGAGCATATCGATCGGCTGGCGGGGCCCATGTCGGCAGAATTCGGGTGCGCGTCTTTGACGTTCTCGTCGGCTCCTGCCGATTTTTCCGGAATCAGGCTTCGCCTTTGGGTTTCTTACACGTCTGTGGAGCTTGTGGCTGCCAGACGCGGTCGCCGCCGGGATCCCTTGGGGTTCCTCAGCCTTGTTTCCTAACAAGGGGGATCTCTGGGATTCCGTCGTCTTGTTGCCATGAAAAGGCGTTGCCCAGCTTCCCATGGTCTTGTGGTCTTGGTTATTTGATTGTTTGATCTTGGTTCCTCGGTTCCTTTGTCTTGGTTTCTTAGTTCTTTGATCTTGGCTCCTTGATTTCTTTGGGCTCCTTCGTCTTGGTTCCTTGGTTCCTTCGTCTTGGTTACCTGGTGCCTTGGTCCTTGGTTCCTTGGTGCTGGTTCTGTGGTTCTTTCTTTTGGTTCCTTGGTCTTGGTTCCTTGGCTCCTTGGTTTTGGTTAATCGGCTCTTCGGTCATGGTTCCTTGGTCTTGGTTCCTTGGTTATTTAGTTGTGGTCCTTTGTTTCTTTGGTCTTGGTTTCTTGATTCCTTGGTCTGGGTTCATTGGTTTCTTTGCCTTGGTTCCTCGAACCCATGGTTGCCCAATTCGACTGTGCTTAAGGGCTTCTAATATGTTAGTGAAGGAAGAGCTGGTGGGTGCCAAACGCGGACGTCGCCGGGGTTCCCCAGGGCTGCCTGGTCGAATGTCTTGAATAGGACGTTCCCCTGGGTTGCCTGGTCGTATCCCCTCGGGGTTGGAAAGTGTTTTCCCCCGAATGCTTAGTGGGGTTCTGGTTTTCTTCCATGCCTCGTCGCACCCGCGCTCCCTCACCTCACCTCCCTCTTCCCCTTCTCACACAGCGCAGCACAGCACAGCACAGCACAGCACTGCTCAGCATAGCTCAGCAAAGCTCAGCTCAGCCCAGCTCAGCACAGCACAGCACAGCACAGCTCAACTCAGCACAGCAGGGCATAGCAGGCGTGGCACTTTCTCGACACCATAGGGGGTGCGCAGGGGGTTGTCCCTGAGCGCGGCCGCTATCCGAGACGGTCGTCCAGGGCATAGCAGGCGTGGCACTTTCTCGACACCATAGGGGGTGCGCAGGGGGTGGTCCCTGAGCGCGGCCGCTATCCGAGACGGTCGTCCAGGGCATAGCAGGCGTGGCACTTTCTCGACACCATAGGGGGTGCGCAGGGGGTGGTCCCTGAGCGCGGCCGCTATCCGAGACGGTCGTCCAGGGCATAGCAGGCGTGGCACTTTCTCGACACCATAGGGGGTGCGCAGGGGGTGGTCCCTGAGCGCGGCCGCTATGGACGGTCGTCCAGGGCATAGCAGGCGTGGCACTTTCTCGACACCATAGGGGGTGCGCAGGGGGTGGTCCCTGAGCGCGGCCGCTATACGGTCGTCCAGGGCATAGCAGGCGTGGCACTTTCTCGACACCATAGGGGGTGCGCAGGGGGTGGTCCCTGAGCGCGGCCGCTATCCGAGCCGGTCGTCCAGGCATAGCAGGCGTGGCACTTTCTCGACACCATAGGGGGTGCGCAGGGGGTGGGCGGGCTAGGGGTCGTGCGCAGGGGGTGGTCCCTGAGCGCGGCCGCTATCCGAGACGGTCGTCCAGGGCATAGCAGGCGTGGCACTTTCTCGACACCATAGGGGGTGCGCAGGGGGTGGTCCCTGAGCGCGGCCGCTATCCGAGACGGTCGTCCAGGGCATAGCAGGCGTGGCACTTTCTCGACACCATAGGGGGTGCGCAGGGGGGTCCGCGGGACACCGTAACGCGGCCGCTATCCCGGTCGTCCAGGCATAGCAGGCGTGGCACTTTCTCGACACCATAGGGGGTGCGCAGGGGGTGGTCCCTGAGCGCGGCCGCTATCCGGGACGTCCAGGCATAGCAGGCGTGGCACTTTCTCGACACCTCCCTGAGCGCGGCCGCTATCCGGTCGTCCAGGCATAGCAGGCGTGGCACTTTCTCGACACACCATAGGGGGTGCGCAGGGGTGGTCCCTGAGCGCGGCCGCTATCCGAGACGGTCGTCCAGAGCATAGCAGGCGTGGCACTTCCTCGACACCATAGGGGGTGCGCAGGGGGTGGTCCCTGAGCGCGGCCGCTATCCGAGACGGTCGTCCAGGGCGTAGCAGGCGTGGCACTTTCTCGACAACGTGGGGGGTGCGCAGGAGGTGGTCCCTGAGCGCGCCCGCTATCCGAACCAGCCGTCCAGGGCATAGCAGGCGTGGCACTTTTCTCGACATCGTAGGGGTGCGCAGGAGGTGGTCCCTGAGCGCGGCCGCTATCCGAGACGGTCGTCCAGGGCATAGCAGGCGTGGCACTTTTCTCGACACCATAGGGGGTGCGCACGGGGTGGCCCCTGAGCGCGTCCGCTATCCGAGCCGGTCGTCCAGGGCATAGCAGGCGTGGCACTTTCTCGACACCGTAGGGGGTGCGCAGGGGGTGGTCCCTGAGCACGGCCGCTATCCGAGCCGGCCGTCCAGGGCATAGCAGGCGTGGCACTTTCTCGACACCGCAGGGGGTGTGCAGGGGGTGGTCCCTGAGCGCGGCCGCTTTCCGAGACGGTCGTCCAGGGCATAGCAGGCGTGGCACTTTCTCGACACCATAGGGGGTGCGCAGGGGGTGGTCCCTGAGCGCGGCCGCTATCCGAGTCGGTCGTCCAGGGCATAGCAGGAGTGGCCCTTTTCCGACGCCGTAGGGGGTGCGCAGGGGGTGGCCGCTGAGCGCGGCCGCTATCCGAGCATGTTTCGTGGGGTTCTGGTTTTCTTCCCTGCCGCGTCGTCCTGGCGTCTCAACATTCTGGGTCGTCATAGGCCCAGCTCCCAGCTCGCCGAGGCGGTATGGGAATGTTGTCGGCCCAGCGGGCTTGCAGAGCAGCCAGTCGGTTCGGTTGCTTGATGGCTGCCACAGCGCATCGGAGACCTCGATGCCAAATCGGGGCGTCCTGGTTAGTATATCAATGGCGAGGGGGCGAGGAGGAGGAAGAGGAGGAGGAAAAGGAGGCTATCATCACTCCAGCCACAGTACAAGTATGTGGGGTTCCTCGGTAGCGTAATTGACAAACCAGTGGGCGCGGGGCGCGGTCGTTGCAAGGGTTTTCTGGTTTTGTTTCTTTACACCATACTAGGGCGTTCCCTAGGGCTGCCTGGTATTAGCGTTGCCCGGTGGCTCAGTTGCCCTGTTGCCCAATTGCCCAGTTTGTCGGTTGCCCAGTTGCCCAGTTTGCGCGGGTTGCCCAAATACGCAGTGGCTTGGTTGGTATGCTTTTGGTTTGGAAATTCATCTAACCGTGCGTTTCCCGTTTCAGTCCAATCGCTTTTTCTCCATGTCCGCTGCAATTCAATCACCCCAGGATGTTATGATTAGATATGATTGAATATTCTTCTACATGGACATCCTCGAGAGGTTTCTCCTCGCCCTCTTCACTTCTTCACCCGCCGCCTCCCTGCAACGTTCAGACAAGTTCAAAGTCAGACTCACTTTCGTACGCTCTCATATTTAGATCCGCTCGCACTCAGACTCCTTCACATCCAGGCACATTCACATCTAGAGTCTATCACACGCAAACTCATGCAGACTCGGTCTCAGAGACATTCGTACCAGGAAGTACGCGCAGTCAGACGCAGTGTCGTGCGCGCGTGGCGCAGGCTTGTTTCTTGTATGAATGCCCTAGAGCGTTGTGCTTCATTGTTTGGTGAAGGTGCGGTTCACCATGGATGGGGGATCTTCAGTGTAAGTTCGGACATTTTCCCCCCAAAGGGTGGGGAGGCGTTCGGCATCTGGGATTTCGCGCTGTCAGTGCCACACCCGCAGGATGAGCTCTCGAACACAAATCCCTGGTGCAACGCCGCCTTCCCAATCTGTCACGTCTGGTGGTAAGCCCTCTCGTTTGTGAAGTGGCAATCCCTTCATCCTCCTTCAAGTCTCTTCCGTAGCCAGCTTGGCCCGAGCGGTGTTTCGCGAGTTGTTTATTCATCGTCTTCGCCTCATGGCAGCGTGGCCGCGGGTAGCGCCGCGCAGGCTTCGGTGCACGGGCGGCTGTTTGGCTGGTCGAGCAGACGTGAATATCTCCAAATATTCTAGAAGCTTGCTGCAGAATTTGCTACGCATTCTTTAGCAACGTTTTGTCCTGTGTGGAAATCAGATAGGCAGAGATGTGAGATATAGGACGATCATGAGAATTATCTCTGCTGCTGCTGCTCTCGCTCGCTCGTGCTGTGTGTAGCATCCCTCTCGCCCGCACCCCTTTTGGCTCGCAAGCTGGGTGGGAGGGCGGACGCACCTACTCACGTTTTGCCTGAGTATGGAATCAAAGATATCATTTCTTTTCATCTTGTGCTTGCATCAAGTGCTGGTGGGAGGCATCTTGTTATCATTATTTACATGCACCCCCCCCGGCGAGCTGAAGGAAGTGCAGAGTTTTACGTCCTGCTGCTTTCCGTTCTTGCCCGCGTCAGCTTTCGCCTCGGGTTTCGCCTTAGGCTGGCCCTTGGCGGTTCCCTTGGGGTCTCCTCCCTTCGGGTCGCCTTTTCCGCTCTCTGGAATCCCCTTAGGGTCACCCTTCGGATGTCGATCCAATGCGAGCTTCGCGGCGGGGTCGTCCTTCTGCGGTGCCGCGTCCGCGAACTGCCCCGCGCGCTAGGATAGCGCCACAGCTTGTCCACCTGCGCCTGGTTCGCCACGCCACCGCTGAGGCCCCGCGTCACGAGGAAGCCGAAGCAGCGATGCTTGACCTCCTCGTTGGACTCCAACATCTTGTGCGCGATCGCCTTCGAGGTCGACAGCTGCTTGCTGGGATCAGGCGGTTAGCGCTGAACATCCGGCGCTGCAGTTCGACATAAGTGGACTTCACGTCGACGTGCCTCCCCGTGGACACCTGCTCCAACGTGTGGTCCCCGTCCGCGCCCGTGCCCGGGCCAGCCGACACGTACGCACTGAATAGAATATCGGTGGTGCTCGTCTGCTTCGTACTAAGCACGCCTGCTTGACATCCTCCGGCACGAGTGCGAGCAGCAGGCCTCGAAGTCGGAGCTCCGCGCTGTGGAAGCTCACGGCGTCGGCCTCGCTGAGGGGGAATTGCGAAGGCTGGGTGGGCATAATCGCGGGACGGTCCAGGTCGAGGTGTGTCTCGTACGTCTCCACCACCACGCTCAGCACTTGCGACCAGCAGCGCTCGATGAGGTGGTGCATGCCCCCCAGGTCGAGCGACACCCTATGAATCCAATGCGCCAGGACTCCCGTCTTAGCGGCAAGGCCGCCCTTCCAAGCCAAATGCGGCAAGTCGGCCGCCCTCAACTTCGCGAGCATGCTCTCGAGAGACACGTCGCGCTGCGGCCTACCAGCCGCAGCGGCAGCAGCAGCGTCGTATGGCGGCGGCGGTGGAGGTCCTCCGCCTCCAGGCTGCCCGCCAAATCCACCAGGACGATCGGGCCCACCACCTCCAGGTAGTCCACCTCCGAATCCACCATGTCCAGCTCCGCCACCAGGTCCGCCTGATGGCCCGAAGCCACCACCACCAAAACCATGAGGATGCCCACCTCCGTGGCCAAATCCGCGTCCACCGAATCCGCCAACGCCGCGTGGAACAGTTCCCGGAGTACACAAAAACCCTCCTCCAGGTAGCCCGCCGACTACAGGAACACCACCGCCATGAGGATGACCACATCTTGGATGCCCTGCTTGAGCGACGTCGAGGTGAGCAGCTGCGCCGAGTCCTGGCGGCTGCTCCTGCTGCGTGGCGCTCGACGGCGCCGTAGCCTGGCACGGAGATCTCCTCGACGTGCTCGGCAATCGCGTTGGCCGACGCGCTCGCGGCCTTCACCTCGTGGGTCTCGGCGGCACTGCCCCCAGCACCATTCATGGCAGGGCCGCCCGCCTGAGGCCAATCCGCGTCGTAGACGGTCTCGATGCCTTCGCCCTGGGCCTCGGAGATCTTCTCCGCCAACCTCTCAGGCGATGAAGGCGTCGCGTACCCACCCTGGGCCGACGCTGCGCTCCCTCCTCGGAGCCTCGTGTTCTCCTCCCTCAGAGCCTCCATCTCCTCGCGCATCCAGCGGAACTCGGCCATCATGTCCGCCACCTCGGTCGGCGCGCAGCTGCCAGAGCCCGCATCGGAGATGTCGAACTGCTCGAGGACGCGCGGGCGCTGCGGCGCGGGAACGCGGGGCAGCTCTACCGCACGCATGCCCCGGATCGCCGACACGGCGCCCAAGGCGCAGCTTGTCACCAGCCTGGCCGCTCCTCCCACGGCCCCAGTGGCCACCGCGCCGATGGCCTGCCCCGCGTACTGGCCGCCAGCGATCATGAACCGCTCGAAGCCCGCGGAGCTCATCGCCATCCTCCGCTGCGCCTGATGGTTCGCGAAGGCGAAGTCTATCTCGTTGGCGCAGCCCGTGCACACCATGCAGCTCATGCGCCTCACCCCTCACCACGCAGTGGCTGTGAACAGGCGCGTGGCACGCCGAGCACGTGACAGTGGGTCCTGTCATCACGTCGGCGCACGCGTGGCACGTTCGCATGATCCACGTGCCCGAACCTGCAGCACAGGCCGACGAAGGCGCCCAGGGGGTCGTCGAAGAGGGTGCGGGGAAGGAAGCTGAAGGTCCGTTTGGGCTCATAACCCCTGTGGACCACAGTGTCTGCTGGTCCACGAACGGGTGCGCAGAATACATTTTATCATTCATCTTCGCTCGGTTCAGACACAACCTTCGACTCGATTCTTCCAGGGTCAGCACGACCACCTCTCGAGGTAGTGGCTGGATCACTCGGACCCTCTCCGGAAGGCCCAGGGCAGCCCTCAGGAGCCACTCGATGGAGAGGATCAGGCGCGTATCCCAGAATCAATCCCGAGAGGCCGCGCTCCTACCGCCCCAGTGGTTCCGAGGTCGAGGCATGAGGGGAGAAAGGAAATACTTTTCCTCGCGTCTTGAGCCATCGTGTTTCTGGAGCTCTCTTTGCGGAGTCTGACGTCCAGGAGGCGGAGTCGCTCCACCTGGACACCAGAATCCGTGGGAGCGGGCGAAGGTCGTAACAGCCTCCCAATTGCTCCCATCACTCTATGCCAATCAGTCCTACGTCTGCTGACGGGCGCCCAGACCGTTGCGCCCAGAACTACAAACGACTGGTCCCTCTGGGTCATCCGGGGCACAATCGGCCCACGGCGCCAGGGGGAAAAAACACACGACATGGTATCACGGAGCCGGCCGGTGACCTTGAGCGCCCCCCAATGGCCTCTGGAAGGTCACCGACAGCCGGCCGGAAAAAACGTCATCACATTATATGATATCACGCATTGCTTGGGGAGCTAGCCTACTCCTGCTGATACTTTTGGTTTGGTCGTGCAGTCCTATCCCCCCACAGACGGCGAGGACGGGGAGGGACAGGCGGGGGCGGGGGTGGGAGGCAGTGGCGGGAAGGCGGCGGGTGGGGACCCTCGGAGGCACCCGCGGGGCGCACAGGACCGAGACCGCGGGCCCGCGCCCGGCTGCCCCGGCCGCGCCGCTCGCGCCCAAGGAGGCCGCCGGAGGCGCCATGGCCGCCGACGAGGCCGCCGGCGCGGAGGAGCGGGCGCCGCTGCACCCGCCCGCCCCGAGCGGGGGGCGCTGGGCAGGGAGGCGGTTGGCGGCGGCCGGGGCGGTGGCGGCGGTCGCGCCGTTGCTGCTGGGCGCGGCCGCGCTGCTGCTCGCCTCCCCTGCGGCGGGGAGGGGAGCCCCAGCCGCTTTGGGCGCGCACAGCTCGGACAGCGCCACGGGGGGTCACCAGCCCCCCGCGCGGTCAGTGGACTGCAGTACGGTCGGAGGGTTTGGGATAGCGTGTCGCTCTGCCGGTTCTGGCCCACAACGTTCGGCGCAGCACGCTATCCTTTTCCGGGCCCCCAAGCGTCAACGTCTCGAGCTTATCCGAGCCTGCTGCCCCGCGGGCCGGGGCGACACGCTATCCGCTTGCGAGGCATAGCGTGTCGTCGGGGCCGTCGCGGCGGCGTCACGCTATCCAAAAGTTCACGACTGTACAGTCAGTGTAATTCAGTAGGCACGTCACACGAGAAGGCAGCCTGTCAGCAGGTGCCCAGCGGACGTTTCGGATCCCTTATCTCCTTATGATGGCCCCAGGACCGGCAGAAGCTCCAGGGTACCGTAGACTCTCAAGGATTGGCGAATATTGTGCCTCTTGATTTCTAGCCAGATTTGCTATCGAATGTGTCTCTTGTCTTTTCTACTAGCGATATTCCAACGAGCATAGTAATGTATCGGAGCGAATTAGGGTTTGGTTACTCATGTATTTGTAACGGGGCTAACGAGCATGGACATGTCTTGGTTATTTAATCGCTTCGCTCATTCCGCCGGCCCATACAGTCTCATGTCTGCCGTTTGCCCGAGGGCCTGGTGTCAATGCGGCGCTTTGGGGGTTCCTGGGGCCGCTTGGGGGACTCCTGGGGCGCTCGGGGGGGCATTTGGGGGGCCTCCTGGGGCCGCTTGGGGGACTCTTGGGGGCCTCCTGAGGGCCTCGTGGGGGCCTCTTGGGGCCTCATAGGGGCCTCTTGGGGCCTCGTAGGGGCTTCTTAGGGCCGAGGGCTCGAAATGTTGTTTCGTGTTCCCTCTCTGGGGCCCCTTTGGGGGCGTTCTTGGGGCCCTCTTGGACCGTCTTGGAGGCTTCTTGGGCCGTCTTCGAGCCCTCTTGGGCCATCTTGGGGCCCTCTTGGGGGCCTCTTGGGCCCTCTTGGGGCGAGCTTGGGGGCCTCTTGGGCCGTCTTGGGGCGTCGGGAAGCCGAAAAGGTGGAAGCTCCAAAATCTTTCAAAAACCTAAGGAAAAACAATGAATTTTGCCTCCGGGGGCCCTCTTGGGAGTGCTCTTGGAGGCCTCTTGGGGCGTCTGGGGGCTATCTTGGGCGTCTTGGAGCGATCTTGTGGCATGTCGGACCCCTCGTGTACCATCTTGGGGGCCTCTTGGGGGCCTCTTGGCCTTTCTTGGGGCTCTCGGGGACGTCTCGGAGCCCTGTTGGTGCGCTCATGGAGCGCTCCTGGAGCGCTCTGGGGGAGTCTCCCGGGGATCGCCCGGGGGTCGGTCGGGGTACTTTTCGTCCGGGGACCCCCAGGGGCCGCCCCGCGCGCGCGAACTAGAGAATTGTTAACCAGTTACCGGAGATCTTAGCACGCCTCTGGCCCGTTGGGCCGGCGAATTCATTCCTCCCGCTATTCACCATCGTTTCTTTGCTCTTGCTCTTCTTCGAGGCTCCATCCTCCTCGCGCGAGCGCGCACTTCAGCGCCCGTGTAATTACAATGCACCCAGTCGCCTCCATCCCCCCATCAACGCGGTCGCACACATGCGGCATTACGACACATGCGGCAGGGCGCGCAAGCAACTGGCCCCGTTTGAAAGCAGGGCGCGAATACAATGCTAGCAACCCCGCCCGCCGCGCCCTTCCTCCTCCCCCTCTTGATTATGTGTTCAAAGCCTTGAGGGAAACGTCTTCCAGCAGCCCATGTTGCAAACAAAGGTGCGCTCCAGCACCCAATTTTGACGAGGGGCAACGTTCCAGCGGCCAACGGCGTGCGCTCAAGCATTGAATTCTCGCGATGGACAACGATCCAGCAGCTCACGGCGTGCGCTCCAGCATTTCATGCTTACGAGTGACAGCGCTGCAGCAGCCCGCGCCGTGCGTGGAGCGCGCGCGGCCCTCTCGCACATTTAAGGTAACGGTTGCCGCCTGAAAGGGCAGCCCAAGCAAGCCGCGCCCGAAACCTCTGCCACAACAAATGGAGACAGACAAACCTGCCTCGTCAAACACTTCGTCAGCAAAAGAGGTCCACTGACTAGGGGGGAGGTTCGCCAGCTCCTCCTGGAAGTCGAGGAGGGGGGGGGATGGAGGATCGAGGAGGCGTTAGACTTCTTGTTGGCGTCTCTGGGAGTGCTGGGGGTTCTCTGGGGGGTCCAAGGGATCCCGTTTCCTGGAGATGGCGGCGACCCCACAAGCTCACACCTCCGACGTCTGGATTTTTTCATATGACGTGGACCCTTGCAGGTCTCGACCCGATCCATTCCGCAGTGCCGGCTTTTCATCCTGCGTCTTTTTGTTGACGGTCCCGGGGCCCAGCGAGGGCCCCCAGAGGCCAAATAGGGACAAACATGTTCGTCGTTTTTTTTTGACGGCGCGAGCATGTCTGGGGTGACTACCCCCCCTTTGGCACTGCCTGGACAGCGTCGACCGCGCCCTAGTGCTGAAGGGCTCCCAGGCCGCGCGGGAGCCGGCGCCCGTGCAGGTCCCGGCCGCTGCGGGCGACGAGCAGGCGCGCGCCCCCGCCGAGGCCAGAGGTCGTCGTCGGTTTTCGGGTGAGGCGGGTGTTGCTCTCGATGAACGGGTCGGACGAAAGGGGGTGATATTTGGATCGCCGCGTTGGTTGCTCAGGGGTATGTGGGATATGAGGAGTTTTCAGGGGATGCCAGGGTGGGCTGTATCTGGCCGAGTCTTGCTTACAAGTGGGTCGCAAGTGCCCTAAGTTACTCGGGTGGGTTCCCTAACTCCGCTGAGCCGGCGGAGCCCACTTAGCCTGAATTTTTACCCTCCCCCTCCGTTTATGCCACACACACACACACTCCGTGCCCACTTACAGGCTATGTCAGGCCAGATATAACCCTCCTTGGCATTCACTGGTAGCTGGTAACCCTTGTATCCCCTTAGCAACCACTGCGGTGATTCAAGTTGGAGAGGCGAAAGCTAAGAAGTCTGGTGCGTCCAGCAGGCGATTTCCTCGATACGTGGGTGCCTCTGGCGCCGGGAGGGGTCGGGGACACCAGCTGTGTAAGCTGATTCGCTAAGCCCCCCTTTACTAAGCCCCCCGTTTCGTCCGACCACAGATGATCTGCGGAGGGCTGGGTGGCGATAAACCCAGACCCCCTCTCAGAGGAGGGCGCGTTGAGACAACGGTAGCTGGCCTTCGGGGGGTCCCCTCGTCACCACTGCTGGACCAGCAGTCAGTTTAGCATTCGTATGGTTTCCCGGGCGCCACTCCCCCTGCCCCGTGCACCTCCGACGTGCACGGCGTTTCCCTCTCTCTCTCTATCTTTCTTTATTGCTTATTTTTGTTGTTGACTCTCTCTCTCTCTCTCTCTCTCTCTTCTGGGACCCTGAGTGGAGCAGGTAGGGCGCGGTGCCAGTAAGAGGGGCAAGAGATCATGGTAATGATACGTTCCAGGATTCCTCAGATGTCCCAGATTTTTAGATTCCCTACAGATCCACACGGGCTGCAGACGCGAGTGCCCCAGATAGTCTCTCCTGGAAATTCTGGAACGTATCTTGAGCCAATCTGATCATGACATTACTCCCGTCCTAGCCAGGCCGCCTCGACGACCGAGCGCGTGGTGCCGCTGTCGGCCCTGGACCAGCAGTGCTTGGACACCTGTCAGGTCGACTGCGAGGGCCTGGCGTGCATCGGCCCAGACACGGGCCTCCAGCGGGGCCCCTGCAGTGAGGGCAGGTGCGAGGGGTCGACCTGCCATCCGGCAAGGTGCGAGCGGTGAGCGGATGGCCGTGTAGGGAGCACGGTGCACATGTCGCATGTCTTCAGTTGCATGTCTTCAGTTGCACATATCTTTAGTCTTGGAGTCACATGTCTTTAGTCGCATGTCGACGGGAGCCGTGTTTGCAGTCACATGTCTTCAGTTGCACATATGCTTGCCAGCGTGGGCCCCAGGCAGCAGGTTATTGCACTGTGGATGTGCAAGCTGTGTGGTGCAAGCTACGTGCTGCAAGCTATGTGTTGCGTTGCGTGCTGTGCAAGCTGCGTAGTGTAAGCTATGCTGTGCAATGCACGTGGTACAGGCTATCTGGCGTAGTCTGTCGGGTGCCAGCTACATGGTGTAAGCCATGCGGTGCCAGCTATGTGGCGCAAGCTATGCGGTGAAAGCTGTGCGGTGAAAGCTGTGTGGTGCAATCCGTGTGATGTAGCGCACGTGATGAAGGCTGTTCTCTGATTCACAGACAACTGACCTGATACAACTCCGGGTGCGTCCAGGGAGCCTGAGTCGCGAGCGCCCCAGTAGGGCCCAAGACGGCCCCAGATGACCCCAATACGGCGCCAGCAGACCCTAGGAGGTCTCAGGACGGCCCGACGAGCGCCTCAAGACGCCACGATGTGCCCAAGATGGCCCAAGACGGGCCCAAGATGGCTACTCGACGCCCCAACGGGCTCCCCGGATGGCCAGGGGGCCCGAAGACGACTCCCAAACGGCCACCAGGAGGCGCACATTCCCCTTTTGCTTCGTGGGGTTTTGGTTTTCCTCCCAGCCGCCTCCTACCCACCCACACACACACTTTACTTCCCTCCTCTTCTCCTCCACTTCCTTCCTCCTCCCACCCACGCGCAACACATGCACGGCACGTACATGAGACACGCGTCTACACACAGCCGCACGCATGCACACACTCGCAGGCACGCCTTCCCCCCCCCCCCCCCCCCCCCCCCCCCCCCCACACACACACACAACACACACACACACACACACACACACACACACACACACACACACACACACACACACACACACACACACACACACACACACACACACACACACACACACACACACACACACACACACACACACACACACACACACACACACACACACACACACACACACACACACACACACACACACACACACACACACACACAAACACACAAACACACAAACACACAAACACACAAACACACAAACACACAAACACACAAACACACAAACACACAAACACACAAACACACAAACACACAAACACACAAACACACAAACACACAAACAACCAAACAACCAAACAAACAAACAAACACACACACACAAACAAACAAACAAACAAACAAACAAACAAACACACACACAAACACACAAACACACAAACACACAAACAAACACACACACACACACACACGCATACACACGCAGACACACACACACACACACTGTTGTGCGTCTCCGTAGCCATTTTGGCTCAAGCCAGGCTTGCCAAGACGCCGCTGCGCAATTCATCTTTGCTCGGCATGGCTCTCCTCATGTCCCCGCGATGCTGCCTGTGGGCTGCTGACGTGGCGCTATCTTTCTGCCTCTGTTTGGCTGCTGGCTTCTCTTCGATCCCTTATCGTCTTTTACTGATTGTTCTGCAACTCATTATTCATTCATGTGCGGTGGCGGCTGCTGGACGGGAATTTAATTCAACACGTGCTGCGATTATGTTTCTTCGTGGTTTGATTATTGCTCCCATCTTTCGCTTGGCTATGCAAGTCAACGCGGCTGCTGGTGCGGCGACACATTCTCAATGGTTATGTTGCTTCCCATCATTCTTCGGGCGCCGCAGGCGACAGAGAGGTTGGAATGGTAAGTCGATCGGGGACGAGCCTTCTGAACGCTCGGGACCCTACATTATTAGCATGTTCGACGCCCTTTTCTCGTGAGCCGGGCTTGCCACCAGCAGTATCCACATTCAACCCTTTGATCGCTGAGTTCGTGCCTCAGCATGCTTGCAATGCTGGTCGCAGCAATTCGTTTTTGTATTGCATCGGTGATCGTGGCAAGGTTGTGGGTCTTCGCTATAAGTTGGCACGTTGTTCTCGTGTTTTGGCTGAGCCTGTCCCGTGCCCATACGGCAAGCAAGACACGCACTCTTTGGGATTGCATTCGGCTTGCAGTGGACACTACCATCACATCTCTGGGAACTCTTTGGCTGAGCCTGCCCAGGCCCATGCGGCAAGCAAGGCACCCACTTCTCAGGTTTCAGTTCGGCGTGCCGTGGACACTCCCATGACATCTTTGGGTATTATCCTGTGCAACAGCTGATTGGCGCTCAGAACAACACGACTGTTTCATTGCATCAGGAGCTGGAGCAGTTGGGGATGGTGGCCCTTCTCAATTTCTCTTATTCGGCGCTGATGGCCCACGTGGATAACAAAACTGCTGCAGTGTCGTCCCAGGTCACCCAGCACCCAACTGCAAGCTGATTTCGCCAGAGCGGTCGAGGCTTCGCTCACCCGTCGGCTGCCGCCCCAGCTCGAGGAGATGAAGTCCTAAATTCTGGACGCCACCAGCCAATATTTGGTGTCTCCTGTGGACAATCTGAAGCGGGAGCTGATCGACACTGTCACGGCCCACCAGCGGTCCGTGGCCGAACACTGTTTCTCAGCTGTCAGGGCCGCCTCTGCTAAGCTTCTAAACGCTCTGGAGATGCAGGCCCAGGCTCTTGAGACCAAGTTTGGGAATGTGGTGCCGATGGTACCACGGAGCGACCGGGACAAGGACGACGGCCCCGAGTACCCCCCCGAGTACAAGTCAGTTGAGCGGAAGATCGGGACAAATCGGAACCAGAGATTCTGGGAGAGTTCCATAGAAAAATAGAACGCCGACTTGTGGAGCGTAGCGCGCGTGCTCGCAGAAGTTGCCAAAGAATGTTCGAGGGCTTGAGGAGCCCAAGTAACACATGGGCGCTCAATTAAACTGTTGAGGGCGGGCAGAAAATCTGGTGTGCACGAGCATTGTGAGCGGGTGCGCGGCTTGCACGGGGGGCACAGCAGGTTTGCGTTTCAGGGACTTGGGCGCTGGCCAATACGCTGATCGGGGGCCCGAGAATGCGTCACATATATTACGCCTGTGGCGCCATGGAGGCCGCGCTTGCGGTTGCAATTGGGCGGGCGCCCCGCCGCGCGCACCGTGGCGACAGCTCTCTTGGGCGCCCGCCCGCCGCCGTGGACGTCGTGGACCCAGCTAGTCTCTCGGTCGGCGCGCGGCGTGTCGGCAGCCGCGACGCTGGCGGCCTGAAAATGCTTCGAAAGTGTTTCTCCCCGAGCCCGGGGCTATTGTACGTTTTCGGTGGCACGCGCAGCTCGGGGAAAAATCGGCGGCCGGTTGGCGGCGGCCAGTTGGCTGTCGTCGGGCAGAAGTGCCGGCGGATGGCGCGGTCCGCGCTCAGCGCAGAGAGCGTGTCCATGAGCGTGGACTCGTCGAGGGGCAGGAGGAAGGACTTCGCGGTCGGGACCATCGCGGCCCACGGCCCCCACCCTGGGCGCGCGAGGACCTGCTGGGCGCCGCCGCAGCGCGATTTCAGAGGATCTCGGAACCAGAAATCCGGGCGCGCCAAATTTCGCGGGCCGAAAAACTTTCAGAGAGTTTCGGCCAGCTCCGAGGTTTTGGGTTTATGGGAATGTTTCACGCGGGGTGGCTAGTTCAGAGATTTTCAGAGATTCTCAGAGAAGTTCGGACGCGAGAATTTGGCGCGCCCCGGTTTCTGGTTCTGCGAATCTCTGAAAAGCGGTTCCTTAGGTTTTACCGGGTCTCCAGGCGTCCTACTGTCAGCCAGAGACGAGCGACTGGCTGGCGCTGCGCCCGATGCTTCCGGAGTTGCGAACTCGGTATTCGATTCCCTGGGGCCCGCGGGCCCCTGGGCCAATTGCGAGGTTGCCGAGGCCCCCAGGCGGTTGCGCGCGATTGTCTCGGAAACCGGATTTGGGCATCCATGGTGGACGCCCGCGCGCACGCGCTAGGTGTCCGCGAGATTGTTCGGTTGCGGATCTTGCATAGCGCGGGGATTTTCCAAAGACTTTCCGGGGTGTTCTCTACGGTTATTTCGGCGCGCTTCGGGAACCTTGGGGCGGCGCGGGGAAGTCGCCTGGCCGCGCGCGTGACTTGTTTTTCCAATGCCTTTTTGGGCATTATCGCGGTGTTGCTTGGCCGACGAGGTCACTGAGTAACGCGATGTTTGACATGTTCGTGTTTTTTTTCGTTGCGTTGGTTGCGTGATTGTTTTGGCGGTCCGCCTCCTTGGGGCCCCCTCTGGGCCTCAAGTCTGTTTTGTTGACGTCGGGCCTGCTGGAGTGATAGGCGCTTGCCGCGTCGTGCGCGTGGCCAAATACGCGCCGTGGTTTCATCCGCGCCGGGGCGCTTTTCTTCCCTCGCGAAGCCGATGGCGCCCAAGGCGTGGCAGGCCCGTTCGGCGGTGCCCCCGGTGATTTGAAAAACCGAGCATGATTTTTATCCCGGTCAAATTTTGCCCCGATCCCGGCTTCATCTTAAAAAGGGCGACCATTTCCAGGTGGGTGACTTGGCACGCCCACGCAGCCTCGCTACGTCGGCGCTACATGAACTGGCGGGCGGCGTCCGTGGTTTCGTCGTAGAAAGGATTCGAGTGGAGTTCTTAGGTATTGACGGCTGCAAGCTGATCAAACCATTCTTCCTGGCCGCAGATTCGGCGGAGGAGCTGAAGACATGCGTGAATCCATGCGTTCAGGGTGGCTCGACGTCTTCTTTGTCGTCTTCGACGTCTTCATCTTCTACGGCCTCCGAGCTGGCTGCCGCCGTGTTCTGACCCCGCTAAGGTGAACAGACCCCATGAGTACGATTGACATACTGTTTTGCGTCGGCGGCCAGGCGGACGGCGACTGCTCCGGCGGATCGGGAACAGGGGGCGCGCTGCATGCAAATTAAAGACGCCATGCGCGGAGGAAGAGGAGCCCCGGCGCGACGGGAAGAGAGGGAGC